AGTGATCAATGCTCATACATAAAATAGCAGAAACACCGGTCCATCATCATTTCAAGCCAAACAGCCTTGGCCGGTTAGTCAACAAAATCGCCAGTTCTTTTCCATTTAGAATTCTCGGCGCTGCTGATGCAGCCAGTCAAAAATTATGGATTGCCTTTACATGTGAGTTTACCTACTTGACTTTGCCTAAAAGACTACGCACTGCCAACAACAATCTGGACCAATTCAAGCGTGACCAGCAGGAATACGATGTTATATTCACTCAGAGCATTTGGAGATGGTTTCCTCTGGTTTCAATGGTTTCCTCTTCTCAACTGCTTGACATGGCTTAAATCAGAAAAGTCACAAAACGGCAGATCGAAAGCTTTGAACTGAGGCTCGCAAAACGAACTGCGTTATATGCCCGTGCATAATCAGTGCACAACACTACAAACAACACTAAAGTTTGGTGAACCTTATGAAGGAGATGACAAAATTTCCAGGATATAATAGGATTTTTTTCGAGCTGAATGCGCGAAATACAGTTCCAGAAGATGGTACACGATTTCTCCTTATGCGTACCCATTATCACTTGCCGCGCATGCTTGTGCTTCAGTGGTACTTCATTCTTGTTCAGTGCTTTATGCACGGAAACAATCTGCAAAGCAAGAACAAATCGCTTCTTCACTGATAAAGTCAATGCTCAATGAGTTACTCAAAAACACCACACACTTTAAAAGTGTATAATTTCAAACAGAAATTTTTCCAGGCCAAATTTCCTGGCAACATATTTCGGCAGGGGATCAGTATTAAAAGTAACTGATAAAGGAATTTTTATGGCATTTTAGCTTTTGTCGGAAATGTTCCCCATCGTAGATTTTCGTTATTCCATAGTTCCACCAAAAACGGCTCAAATCAGCATCAGAACGCCGAACAGCTGAGGGGTACTAAAGGAGTGCTTAATTGAGACTATCCTGAATTAAAACATAGGAATGGGAAGGCGCTTAATTACTTAAGGGCTGTATTTTTGCGCAAATATGTTTGTGATCTGCCAACACTATGGATTTGCTTTGGATTTGGATTTTTTATAATTTGATGTAGAAGAAAGATACTCGAAATTTCACTGTATGAATTGAAATGCGCGAAAACGGTCCCGACAGAAATGTGGTAAAATCTTTAAATACGATACTACTGAGGATTTGGGCGTCGCTCTTGCAAACCTGCTGTTTGATGGATGTTTCGCGATCATCGCCCATAACCACCGATTTCAGTGACATGATGATGACGATGACGACGACGACGATGAAGTACCTGACGACGACGATGTCGACGGGCCAAAATACAAACGCTCACTCACTCAATTCAGATATTCACAGTGACCTCGTCCTGAAAACAGAAAATTTTGCAATCTTTCGACCATCATCTTACGCTACCACTCTGTGGAAGTGCGCAGCAGTGGCACACCAGACCCAGTCCTGTGGATGGGGGAAGCATAGTGGATGAGGAAGAGTTGCCCGATGCAACCCATGCATCAACAGCTCCCCTTCCCCCTCCCCTCCCCAACACGTGAAATAATAATAGACCAACAAGATTGTACGCAAGCCATGTGTGTGGTGTTATTTTATGGTGCAGACTGCCTTTATCTTGTGGATGTAATGGGGTGATATTTTTCGATGCAGTCTCTGTATTTCATCCCTTAGCTGTAAACACAGACCGGAAAATGCATGCGGATAGGAGTGGGAATCGTCAGTACAGCTTCCTACCCGCCATGTATTGAAAAGACATGTAGCTAATTTGCTAGACGGATGGATGAAGGAAAAAGATAAAGAGAGTAAGAAGGAGAGAAACTTTTTAATATCATGAAAGAAGTAGGTGTGATAGAGTAGGTGGGAGAGGAGGAAACTAACATATGATAA